TTCTTTGGATTTCGAAAGTCATCGCCGCGCCCATCTACCCCTCAAGAGCGTCAAATGTAGCGTAACTCGCAAGAAAGAAGATATTGGCGCGAAGAGCATGTCCAATTTTTCCTCTTCGCCATTTCCGAGATTTCACTTTTGTGAATATTGCGTTATTAATTTTTTAAAACAAAAAAGATCCGTGAGAGAGGTACCGCGTTATTTAATTATTTGTGATAATGAAAATTGAACAAGTTTAATATCACGATGTTTTCTCCCAGGAATAGACTCTAATGTAATATTTTTTTACTCAATTAAAAACAAAGAGAGAGAGAGAGAGTGAAACGGAAGAAAGAATCGTAAGAGGTTATTAATAAGGAACGGGGCGAATGTTCCTGCGGCACATAATCGAAAAAAATCCGTGGATAAACGATTCTTGAAACGCGCGTAAGAAAGACACTTTGAGAAAGAAGCCGCAATTAGCTTCGCGAAACTTACATTTATCTTCCTCCGCACTGAAACAGATATTTTGCGTTGCTGTTCCCGCAGAGGAGGGAGAGAGAAGTTTTTCTTTAAAGATATAATTACGCCGAGAGAAACTAAATTAGATTGTACATCTCATTCTACATTTTCTGATAGCTTTGCAAGTTCCGAGATGTTTTTCTCGCGTTTTATTGCGCAGTATCGGGCACGTAAAGAGGATGAGATGGAAACTCGGGTACTGCAGGTCAATATATTCCATTATATCGTGCGCACACACACACACACACACACGCTCTCTCTCTCTCTCTCTCTCTCTCCCTCTCTCTAAGACTTCAGGAAATAAATTATATTCTGACAAGCTTTATATTAACTTTTTAATAGAGTGCGATTCAGTGAAAAAAAAAAAAACTCAATTTATTTTATAGTTATATTTCACACGATACGAGCGATATTGAATCGTCTAATCGATCTCTCGTCACAGTCACTACGAGACTCACATCGTTAAACGACGAGCTGACAAATTGATTCTTCTCTCGCGAGATGCAACACACATCGCTTTTCCCCACAAAGGTCTCCGGTACTTTACCGGTATTTGACTTTCATTCACTTGGAGCGCGCGCACGCGAGCGCGCACACATACACGCGCGTCTATTTCTTCAATTTCCGCGTACGAAGACAACTCGAGATTTCCGCAGGCAAGATGCCTAAGGCGAAGCGAACTTGCAAATAGAATTCCACGTATCCCACGGTATCTGTCGACGATGGGGATGCACAGTATGAAACGTGACGCGTTTGATCGAGTGCAACGCCTCGCGGGGTTCGGGCGATTGAGATGACGGCGAGGGGGTTTGCAGCCGTTGAGGAGGGGGGTTGCGCAAAACGAGCGGAAGGAAGGCCGTGGGTGATGATCGCCGAATGTGCTGCGCGCGAAGAAGCCGCAGTTCTCATTCGATATCCGTGGCTGATTTCGTAGGTACCCCATCTCGAGCGACGTCCAACAATGGAGTCTCTTTTGTCGACGGGAAAGAGGATATCGCTGTTGAACGTCAATCGACTGGAAACGATCGATGCGTTTACTGGCTTAAGCGATTTCCCACTTTGTTCGCGCCCCGTGCCGCGCGCGCTCGCGATATTAATACGTCTGTATAACGATATCGCGATGATTTACTCGCGCGAGCAAGTATAAATACACATTGATAGGAGTCGAATAATTGTTCCTATTAGATATATTCGCGTGCGTCGATTTATTATATACGTTCGACTACATTCCCTCGAACGGGATTAGACTGACAAGAATTTCAACGCCGAAACAAGCAAATTCGTCAAAAAATGACGACGGATTTCAAAAATGCAGACTGTTTCGAGAAGAAATGCGATTCCGAGTGATTTTGGTTTAACGAGAAAAACGATGTGAAATATTCAAAATCTTCGCAGCTGAAAAATTGTGTTTCTCGTTAAGTAATTAAATTATTGAAGAAATTAAACAAATATTAACGAACGAAAATCATTTTTTTTTTTTTTTTTCGAACGCCCAACGTCAAAATTGATACGATGAAACTAGACTCAATTCTGATGTTGCTCTCTAGTGTTCAATTTGCTATTCTTTTGCGCAAATAAAATATGTCGAGCAATATAAATTTTAGGAACAAATATCACGCGCGAATGTGAATTACTCGCGCAATTTGCGAGTTGTAATGTCGCAGCACGCAATAATTGCGCGATATTGTTTGTAATAATAAAGATTTAAAATTGACTTATATAGAAAAGAGGATTGAGACTATTATACGGCATTGTCGCGGGAATAACGTGGCATAATAATGGCAATCTGAAATCGCGAGCTGAAATTTTCTCCGCGAAAAGCTGTTATTACTGCAAGATTTATTACCGCCAATGTTGGAAATTAAAAACGCGCGCTCCGCACATTTCGAAATGAGAGTTTCGCCAGTTTTCACCGCTAAAACTGAGTACACAAGCTAATGCGGAACGAGAGGAATGCAAATGCAAATAGCAGTCGATTCGAGCTTTTGCCAAGCCCCTTTTGCTTTTCCAGCCAAAAGCTTATCTGACGGATCGTTAAGGCGCGCATCGGATAAAAGGTGTTTGACAATAATACGCCGTTCTATATGCTGATGTATAGAATATTATTTCAAAAAGAGAAAGAAAGAAAGAGAGAGAGAGAGAGAGAGAGAGAGAGCGCACATATCTCTGCTTCTAATGATACACGTACGCTATAAATAAATAATATATACAGGCATTGATCGAATTTTGTTATCTGTTTTACATAAGATCCGAACTTTTTGAAATTAAATACAATAAGTAATTAAGTAAATATAGTAAGAAGAAATATTAATATTTGTGAAATTGCACGCTAATGTATGCGAATCGCTTATTCCGACACAGACACTTCTGACTTTTCTTCGGAATTAAATCTTCATTTTAAAATTTAATCGCACATTCTCTCTCTCTTTCTCTCTCTCTCTCTCTATCTATCTATCTATCTATCTATCTATCTATCTATCTATCTATCTATCTATCTTAATTGAATATAATATGCTATCTGCTTTACGAATTTATACGAGTAGATAGCCGCAATCGTATCTTAAAAAAAATTGCACTTTTTTTTTGTACAGAAATATTCTTTTTTTTTTCTACACGACTTTTTGTTTGTTGCAAAGAGTTTTTTAACTGCTCGCGACATCTTTTGTCGCGTTGAAACGCGGCGTGACAAACACGCAAGTTTGTTAAAATTTGTAAAAAGAGTCGTCGATGCGACAGAAAAAAATACTACACTTGCGCGTGTCGAAACATTTGCGAATATCGACGTGAAAAATTTGACAATACGACGGGATATCGTCTATGTTATTCGTCAGCTTGAAGCTGTGTGTTAAGCGTTTGTATAACTAACTCGCGTTTGTGTAACTACTCGATAACGAGAACAATGTTAAGAGTCACTCGACGCGTCTCTTCTACGTGTCAAACGAATGATACAACTATTTGCATCTGTTTGTTTCTTTGCGGTAAATTTTCTCTCTCAATTAATTTCTCAATTCACATCTCAAGCTCAACTGTTCTGCGCAATGAAGATCAACTCGGTAGAGTTTCGATTAATTGTTATTCTCACAGTTGTGTCTGGCTTTTTTTTCCACTTACTTTCTCTCTCTCTCTCTCTCTCTCTCTCTGTCTCTCTCTTTCTGAATTATTTTTCTCATATTAAATCTTCTTTTATTTCTGGCGCGCTGTTCTCTCGTCAAAGTCGAAGAAGACACCGACGCGCTCTGTTTATAACTACACGTTTGATCCGACACGGGGCAACGCATCTACTTCGAAACGGAAATTGATTATGAAGGGATTCCCCATCTATGAGCAGAGATACTCGCTTCGGTACACCGGGAAGGATAAATCGCGGAAATTCAGCAAACAGAGAGTTGTCTACCTCTCTCTCTCTTTCTCTCTCTCTCTCTCTCGGCAAGCGACGCGCGTTTGCCAGCAGCTGTTAATTGAAATAATTCACAGATGATAATTACCGGCTCTTATTGAACGGTGTTTATCGTAATCGCTTCATTATCACATCGTAAACATATGCGCTCGTTGTCCTCGGCTGTGCAATATAACGTGTTAATTACGAACGAATATCCCGTAATGTGCGTGACAATTATCTGCGCGCATATATATATATATATACATATATGTACAAAGCGCGCGTGACATATCTGCAAAAGCTAATCACAGAGATCTTTTGGTTGCGAATAGAAATGTACTGTCGCGCGCATCTCATTACGAGGCGATAAAATTGCGGAAACAACAGGGTTGTTTGCATAAATACACGGTAATAAGATTTTTCTGCGAAAAAAAAGCGCGTGAAAAAATAAATTGAAAGTTATAAATAGAGACGTCCTTCCCTCGAGTTCTTTCTCTCTCTCTCTCTTTTTTTCTCTCTCTCTCTCTCTCTCTATCCGAAGAAACAAGGAAAGCTCACGTAGAGAAAACTTTTATTTGCTGTATCCATAAACCGCATCTACAATCCTCCCGTGTGTTTATGCGTTAGATTAACCGGACTCGGAAGTCGCAACGTTCCGCGCTCCTGGAATTCATTTTGCGGCGAGAGCTACGGAACGGAGTATACATCTCGCGAGCGTTTAGTCTGCAAACATTCTCTCTCTGCCCTAATCGTATTATCGTATTTTCCCGGACGTATCTTCTCTGGTACATATCGGTTTCTCGTAATCATCCATATTGCGGTATCCGCGAATCAAGAACTCGGTTTCCGCGTTATACATTGTTACAATATACGTAACGTTACAACATCCGTTTGCCTCGCAAACACACAATCGCGCGATACATTATCGAGATCTAATTTTGTTACACTAACAAGACAGTGTTCGGTTTGCGCGTTTGTACGTGAAAATACATACTTTTGTTGTAGTAATTATATACAAACGCGCATACACACACACACACACACACACACAGAGTGTTTTACGTGTGCAGGAAGCAAATTGTTTGTTTACTAAAACCATCACTTTGACATTTTGTTACAGGTGTAAGGAACCCGGCAGATACTTGAAGGATCTTCCACCTACGGCGGTAATTATTTGCTTTCACAACGAAGCTTGGTCCGTGTTATTACGCACAGTGCATTCCGTGTTGGACAGATCGCCCGAGCATCTCATAGAAGAAATTATACTCGTCGACGATTTCTCTGATATGCGTAAGTTTGTTACAATTTTTTTTTTTTTTTTTTTTTTTTTTTTTTTTTTTTTTTTTTTTTAGTTGATTACAAAAGAAAATTAATTAAGTTACCGCAATGTTTCTCTTTGAATATTTACGTTGTACGATTTTTTTTGTAGATACGTTAATTGCAATCCTTTTTTCTTTAAATCGGGAAATTATTTAATGAGGAATATTTATACGAATATTTACCGGTGTTCGTTAGCGAAAGAGAGAAAGATATATATATGTGTGAAATTTAGAGACGCGCGCAACACAACGTAGCATGTAATACAAATATTCAAAGTATTTCCTTCGTGTAGTGCAAGTTGAACGAGTTATTCTCGCGTTATCAGCAGAACCGCGCGCGCGCGTACTTCGGATTCAAAACGAAATACCGTGTACGCGCGATTGAAGCGGAATAGCATATCGCCTCCGTAGCGTCATAAATCCTCGTATAACTCTCATCGTACGCTGAGCGATGAAAAATCCTCGGTAGAATGTCGGGGAAAACTCGTAAGCACAGAGAGAGAGAGTGAGAGAGGGAGAGAGAGAGAGGGAGGAAGAGAGAAGAGGAAGAGAGAGAGAGAGAGAGAGAGAGAGAGAACAGAAACCACCGGGCTATTATATTCGCGTACTTGTTCGTGCAACCGCGTCTCTATTCAGCACGGTGATTCGTTATCGCGACAGTGTCCCGTAGTTTCGCGATAGATCGATTAATTGCGATCCATCTCTCCACTGCGACACGTGAATAGAAGAGAAACTCCCGTGCGCGCGCGAGCGCGGAACCTCTGCTCTGCTTTACAGACGCTCAGAAAATTACGAGAGGTCCATGCAATATCTCGCCCGCTCGTGCGCTCTCGACAAGGTTTAACATTCTCCCTCCTCCGTTTGTTCTCTCGCTTTTCAAAATCGTGAGACGTGGACATATCGTTCATTCCACATCGAAAATTTATACACTTTTATGAGTCGCTTCGCGTGAAAACTCGAACTTCGCGAAAGATGGTTTTTGTACATTTTTTGATGATAGTGTTTTTTTTTTTTTTTTTTTGTTTTAAAAGAAAGACGTGCAATTTAATTTTCTCTCTTGTTTTCGTCGTCGAAACGATGATTAATCGGCAAATTTTCACAAAAAAAAAATTTTCTTTCTCGAAACTGAATTATTACGCGCGCGCATTTTGTAATTACTTTGCGTATAATTTCGCATTTATCTATCGCATTTATTCGCGCGATGCATGATTTTCGTTCAAAGGCATTTACAGAAAGTTGATAGAACTATATTAAACATGAAATTTTGCGTATACGGGCGAAACAAATATGTATGCCCATGTTCGCATTGTTTGGTTGCGGAAAGGCAATTAGAGTTCCAACGTACCTGCATGTTTTCAAATAAACTGACGTTCATACAACACACACCCCAGCTCCGGCTACCATCTAAATTACGGTTCCGGTAAAAAATGGGAAGCGGCGCTACTTTTTTGTACGTGCATGTGTGTGTGTGTGTGTGTGTATGTGTGTTGGCGAGAAATTTGTAGTCCCGCGGAACAAAGCTGCGGCCGTTCGCTCTCGCGATTATTGTATTTAAAATGCGCGCATTGTAACTCGCAAAATGTCAATTTTGAAAAATGAATTGAATGTCGAGCGGGCGCGGTGCGAGCCACGCCGTGTGTCACGCTTCGATTTAATTACGGTTTCGCTGCGAGACGAGAGCAATCGCGCCGGGATTCCCGCCGCATAATAAAGGCGGCGGACGAGTGTAAAAATCCTAAGAGAAAGGTCGGCTCCGGGATTAAGCCGGGGGTTCGCGCAGGGAAAACACGACCTGATGGAAACACGTAAAGTATAGCCCGGATGGTGGTTCGCTTGGCAATCCCTATTAAAAGCTGGAGATAAGCCTTCGTCTCGTCCGGAAGTTAAACCCTACAAGCATAGTCACTCGGCGATCCTCTGACCAGATGGCGTTTGCTATTAACAGACGGCTGATTACTTGCTCACAAAGAAACGAGGTCGGAATATCTCACACATGTGTTATTGTTCATTCCGCAGCGTCAAAATACTTCGAAATTGCAAGCGATAAACGAGATTTATGCGCTTTGCTTCAAAAACCTTTGCATCCTCTCTATTTCTCTCTGCAATTGTTAACAACAATAACTGTAATTTAACTTCCTCATCTCATCGCAAAATGTATTACATACTTTAATGACGCAAACTCCCATTCTATGTGGAGATTATTTTTTGAAATTTTTTATTGTTTTTCGAAAAAAACTATCACGCCCGAGGCGTGTATGGAGAGTGCGCGCGGATTGAGATAAATTTTCAATGATTAATAAAGCTCGCAAGAAAAGTTGTAATGAATTTTGCAGCGCGCGCGCAGCTGGAGCTTTAGCTCTCCTCGGCAAAACGCACGCACGATAATTAGCTTTTATACAGGGGATTGGCGACGGGGATTACGGAGTTAATTATGAGCGCTCTCGACGGCGACAGACTAGTGTGCTCTTTGAGCATTTCCATTATCTGCACCTCATATAGCGCACTCGGCTAAGTCATAATGAAATTTGCAATAATGGTCGCGGCCGGTTTATGCGTGCCTCTCTCTCTCTCTCTTTCTCTTTCTCTCTCTCTCTCTCCCTTTCTCTCTTCCGCTCTCTCTCTCTCTCTCTCTCTCTCTGTGTGTTCGGAGAATTCATTAGAAATTCATTCGGACCGGAATGCACGCGGAATTCGGCGCGCGTATGCCAGTTGCCTGCGTGCGCATTAAATGTCTGACCTCCGACCTCTTACGGTCCATCCTCTCTCTCGTTCGAGTACAGTTAGCAACAACGTAGCGTGCTCAATTCGATATTACGTCAGGATGTGTATGCGGGAGAATTATTTTCTCAATTCTTGACTTGAACACAGCGGCGCGCGATCGTTTCCGTATAAGAACTTTCATATTTTTTCTATTTACTTCGGCGCACAGGATAGAGATAAATGTTTTCAATGAAACATTGAACAAGAGCGCATCCTACTGGTATTAATTAAGAAATAATTATAACACTGAGTATTTTTGTAAAAAATATGTGTAAAAAGTTAGAAACTAATTTAAACAAACTTTAAAAGTATGTAATTATTCAATGAATGTACGATATTAATAATATTTCGAAAAAATTATATTTCCAATAATTGTTTCTGCAACAAACGTTCGGCCATTTGGACATTTGCCTCGGAGTGAAAAATTCTTTCCTCGCGAATCGATGCGGAAATTCCGAATACGAGGAAGCGAGATGAACGTGATGTGTACATATTGTACATCGCGCGCAACAACGTTGTATTAAACCTCATCAGGAGTGCGCGAACTATCCGATTGGTGCATAAAATCGGAGTCGACGTCTCTATCGTTTCCGAGTACACGACGTTTCTCCCGCTCGGTAATCATTGTGTGCGCGCCTGCACGAAACACACTCTGATCCGTTTAGAATCCCTTTATACTATCCATAGTTAACCGAGCTTACAGGGCGGAGGCTTAGGATTAGTTTGGCCCTTCCCGGTTCCTCATAAAGCCGTCCTAACGGAGAATAAATCACGAATGTCTGCTAATTGCTGCCCGGCGACCCGTAACCAGTAGGCAAATACGTATCATAAATCTAAATCTTGTGTCGTAGAAGTAACACGAAATAACAGACCGCTTCGTAACATCGGCCGAAGTGGCTACGTCAAATCTTTTCAGACGCGGGTATATTAATGTAAAATCGATCGCGTCAAATTCGTATGCACTTTCCTTTTCTCTTTCATTCAACAAATGATCAAAACATCTCTCCGACTGTGCTTTGCTAACTTTTAATTGACAAAAGATCACAAGTAAATATAAACAAAATTAATTGCGAGCAAAAATAAAATGTTATTTAAATATATTTAAATATATTTAAAAGAAGTTAGATATACACGTAATTTTTATAATTTTATGCAAAACGTTTCGAGTTCTCACTAGACTTTATTGATCGCAAAACAATTAATAATACAAAACAAAAAATAACAAAAAGAGTCTGCCGCAATAATAAGAAGAAAAATGCATAATACTAAAAACATTTTACTATTGACGTCCTGGAACGTGCACTTCTATCTTGGTGTCCGAAAATATATCTTGTTATTTGTTTCTTCCGGTTTCAATTCGAATAAAAAAAAATCAAATCATCCCCTAAGTCAGCATTTGACTAAGTACATTTTATTCGACAAACTCTACCAACTATATGGAATTCTACTTGAATTATTCAGAGTGTATTTTTGACGACCTAAGATAATTTTATTTGGCCGTGAATTACCTTATTTTTTCTCGCAATTGACCTTATTAATTATTTGCGAATTTATTAAACGATCGTCTCATATTCTTCTTTGACAAAAAGTAACGGATTGTGCATTATTTTTCACGATCAAGTTTGTCGAGCGTTAATTCCGCGCACAAGCTGTGTTGTCTTTTTTTTTATGGTGGATTACTTATAAAAATAATAGCAGCTTAAGCCGTTACAGTCCTGACACTTTAACGTATATATGATCTTCACCGAAACTATAACCGTAGTTACTCGTTCACCGGGTAAAAGCGACGTTAGGTATAATGTGAATAACCCGCGTAAATATAGAGGAAACGCTATTATACGGGATTATCGGTGTGTTTCTACCTGGCATACGATTAAATTGATTGTGGTGAGCGAAACGAATCCAGGATGGGGATGGGTGATTGTTGTTGCCGTAACAGCTTGCGAATGACATCGTAAATAAACCGTAATCTGACGTTAAGAACGTAATCGACGTAACCTTAGAGAAACCTGGGAGAAACGGGCGTGTTCGTGGCCTTATTGTTGCAATATCTTACGCCGAAGCATAGATCCTGCGGGCAACTTATGTTTCCAGATCGATGGAAATTTAACGAACATAACGTTAACACGAGAGAAACTCTCTCTCTCTCCTCTCTCTCTCTCTCTCTCTCTTTCTCTCTCTCGAGATTTAAATTAATATTCGAGCAAATCCCGATATTAAAGACGGCGAATTCCCGTCGGTAACGAGTCCGTGAATTATGAAATTACTTAGTTTAATACAATAAAAGCCAGTACTGTTTAAAAAAAAAAAAACCANNNATTTTTAAAAAAAAAAAAAAAAAAAAAAAAAAACGAAAAAACAAAAAACTTTTTTAATTTAACTGTTACGTGAAACAAATAGGATAACTGCCGCAATTTTCGTTAAATTATTTAATTCTACAAAAAAAACATTACGCGTTTTCAAATTATATTTTATGCAAAAAATAAATCTCGAATTAAAATTAAACATATGTTTCACATGTTTGCGCGAAAATGGCGAGAGTGACATAAAAATCGATCGTTCCGCAGCTCATCTGAAGCGTCAGTTGGAAGACTACATGATGAATTATCCGAAAGTTAGGATTATCAGAGCAAATAAACGAGAGGGCCTTATCAGGGCGCGTCTGTTGGGCGCCGCGGCTGCCAAGGCGCCGGTGCTCACGTATTTGGACAGCCATTGCGAGTGCACGGAGGGCTGGCTGGAACCTCTTCTGGATCGGATCGCACGCGATCCGACGACGGTAGTTTGTCCGGTGATCGATGTTATAGACGACACCACCCTGGAATACCACTGGCGCGACTCGGGCGGCGTAAATGTCGGCGGATTCGATTGGAATCTTCAGGTAAACGAAATCCACGTCGCCGGCTTCTCCGGAGCGTCGGCGATCCGGAGCGTCAGAGAACGCGTTCGTTCTCTCTTCAGAGAGCGCAATTGAATTTGCACCGTCTCCGTCAAATTAATTATTGAATCGCGTTGGTGCTCTCTATGAAAAAAAAAACGGTTTTTTTAGACACGTACTTTTTAATACAAGGAATTAAAATCACAGAAAAAATTTTATTTTAAACATCCATCGAGATTTTTCACGCATAGATTTACCCGCACTTGTGCGCGATAAATCGCGCACAAATTGTAGAGAAATATAATTGCTATCTATTAAAAAAAAAAAAAAACAAAAAGAAAAACAAACTTTGTTTGCGAACGGATTTTCGAATGTATATTAACGTTTGTCAACAAGTTTAATTGGCACGCGGTGCCGGAAAGGGAGAAAAAGAGGCACAAAAACCCAGCCGAACCGGTCTGGTCGCCAACCATGGCCGGCGGTCTCTTCTCGATAGATCGGGCCTTCTTCGAGCGCATCGGCACGTACGACAGCGGATTCGACATCTGGGGCGGCGAGAATCTCGAGTTGTCATTTAAAACCTGGATGTGCGGAGGTAAGTTCGGAACGAGTAGAAAGATTTATAAGACAAAAACATCTTTTTTTTTTTTTTATGCGACTCGGAGAATTGATTTTCGTGTGTGCATAAATTTGCATTGTTGTTTATCTGAAAATAACAATTGCGCGTAAGTGTATAATATTTTTGTAAAGCGCGCGCAAATGTGTGTGAGAATATTTCGTAAACTTTTGCCGTGTGCTATTTATAAACACCGCTTTTGTTTTTATTTTGAATTTCGGCATTAACAAACGGCGCATAAATAAACAAACGCGGTCGAGAAAAAAAAAAGGTTTAATCCAATAAAACTCGACGTGTGGAATTGCAGGCACTCTGGAAATCGTGCCGTGTTCACACGTGGGTCACATCTTTAGGAAACGTTCGCCTTACAAGTGGCGCAGCGGCGTGAACGTGCTCAAGAGGAACAGCATAAGGCTGAGCGAAGTGTGGCTGGACGAGTACGCCAAGTATTACTATCAGAGGATAGGCCACGACAAGGTAAGTACGTCGTGCAACGTCGCATGCATAAAGCTTTCTTTCGTACACGACCCCTCTCCCCTTCTTCTTGCCACGCGAGAGAGGACGCGACGAGAGGACAATTAAAAGTTGAGCGCGCGCGCTCATGTGTCTCTGGGAAACAAAATCAATACAAAGACGAAAAATAGAACGAGTGTTTTACAATTAAACGGAACACAGAAAATTCTGCCAACGTGTTTCTCGGTGATGTTAAACAATGTAGTAAAATATACATACATATATTTACGCGAATTCAACGGAGATAAGCGCGACATTTATAATACAATACGAAGAGACTAGAAAAAAAAAAAAAATCCACATATCAAGGCCAATACGAACCGATTACAGTTTGATCGTGTGTGTACGAATTTATCGCTTCATTGATATGTGTCATACGTTCGATCTCTTTGTTCAAATTTTTTTCAGTGATTGACTGAATTCACAACTAAAGAGAAAATAACCGACATAGAATGAAATATGTATAAATGTATAAAAAATATCAAATAAATAATCAAAGATCTTGCCGATAAAAAAAAACATCAAAAATTGACAGCAGAAAATATTGTATGTGGATGAAATTAATATTAAATAAAATAAAAAAACAAACATATCTATATATGGTTGAAAACGAAAAAATAAGAAGAAAATAAATATAGAATACCGTGTAGTCGAGAATTGAAATCTGGTCAAAAGAAAAATCTGTACATTCAAAGTTTATGTTGCGATAAAGTTTGTCGTAACAGAGTCGGATTACAAGGATCTTGTTTCAAATCGCGGCGCGGTTGATAAAGCCTCGATTACGTTTCTTCAATCCGAGTTGCTCATAAACATCGGCCGACGTGGTTCTCGCTAAGAACGTGGGAATGAAGGATAACGATAAAGAGAGAGGTGGGGGGGGGGGAGATGGCCGATGATGGAGAGGATCGTAGACCAGGACCTGTCGTAAAAAAGGGCCATAAACGTGCCAAGTGCTCTTAAGGCTCGCGCGCATGTCCTCGCTCTCCTGAAGGACGCTTCTTTCGACCCCCTCTATAACGATCTGTCATTTATCCTTGATGCTTGTCCGCCTCCGCTCTCTCTTCTGTCGAGATCCAATCGACGAGATAAATCGAAGCGTAGAAAATAAATCGCTTTCCGTAAGCACGCCGCTCTATGCGATGATCGAATCTATCAAGAGTGTCGTCTTCACGGATGGCTTCATAAAATAATGAGATAAATCGCTCTTTGTTTACATGCCCGCTTATCCCCGCCGCGGTGATCCAGCTCGCAGTAGTAATAACGACGATCGAGTCAGACACTGTTCTGACGCAGCTCAATATAGCTTTGTGCCACTTAATTGCTTTGAAGCAACAATTATTACAATGACAGAAAATATCGAGCAAATTTTTTTTACACATAGTTAACAACAATTTTTCACAAGCCGATTTATTTGATTTATAATTTTAATTATTTGAAGAATAACACATAGATAAGTTATATGTTATTTTATTAAACAAATAATATATTATTATTATTAGATGAATACTAATAATAATATACTAATATATACACAGATAATTATCATCTACTATTAGATAATAATGTACGTAAGATAAATTACTATACATTTTATTCTTCTGGTTTTACTGGAGTTTTTTTATACTTTCGCGATTTCTTCTCTCTTTTCATCTGTTTCGCATTGTCAGCACGATCGCGCTCTGACCGCACGCTATGCTTTCGCAGGGAAACTACGGTGACGTATCGGAGCGAAAGGCTCTTAGGAAGAAACTGGGGTGCAAGTCGTTCAAGTGGTACCTGGACAACGTTTATCCGGAACTCTTCATTCCGGGAGAGGCGGTCGCCTCGGGAGAGGTAAGACTACTCCACATTCTTTCCTTGAATGCTTTTCTTTTATTTTTTTGAGCAGGTGCTGACGTTACGGCTCCGAGAAATACCATCAGCTAGGAAGGAGAAACGGAAAACGACGGGAGAAACGACTGGTGGTTCCTCCTTTAACGACGTTGCCGCGGCTTTGATCCATCAAGGTGTCGTATTACGACATTCGAAGGCTCTTCGTGAGAGAGAAAATGTAGTCAGTTAGATAGAGCCGTCGGAAAGATGTCGAATTATTTCTCCTCTCTCCTCCTCCTCCTGTCCCCTACTCCTTTGTTCCATTATTCTTTTATTTTCCACGTCGCTCGCGAAGAGAGACGTCTCTTTCGCGACACATATACGTGATATTTTTGAAATATGATATATATGTAATGAAACACATAATGTGCTCGCGCGCGTTGCTTCTCTCGAGTTTTTAAACGATTAAATACGAAGCGTGCGATTTCGCGGCGAAATTAAGTTCACACAAGTTGTCACTAAGTGACAAGATTTATCAATTAATTACGCGTATTTCCTTTGCGCACGCGCGCGCTCTCGAACGTAGGCGGAGGTGTTGATCGATGTCAACAAGCTCGCGACACCGAAAACAACGTCCCTTTGATTGCGAAACAATGCGAGTCGCGGTCGGAAACAATTGTGATCGGATCGCGAATGTGGGGGACTCGTTCGAATCGGAAATCGATTTCCACGGATCTAAACTGCGAGTTCTTAGTATTACGCAGGCGACTAGCTGGCGTGTAGCGCGAGCGGTTTTGCGCCGATGCAACTCGATTGCGGAGCCAATCGTCTCATAGAAAAAAAGTCTTTTGGAAATGTTTTCTCTCTTTTGCAAAACAAAAAAAAATCAATTCAGAAATTGTTCTTCGAATAATATTGTTTCCCGTATACTGTTTCTCATCTCGCGGTGTCGAACATAACTTTTATATCGGGAGAATTAAATTTCGAGAATCACGAGCGACTGCGTTTAACGGTGAAACAAGCAGCGTTTATAGCCAGACATTTCTCGTTGCGTAAATTTTTTTTTTTTTTTTGTTATGCTTTGACGTACTCAGTTTTCTTTTGTGAATGAAGATTATAAGAATGATGCCGAAGATACGCCTCTGGTAAGCGCGCAACTTTATTATCAAATTGATCAGCTCGCGTTCACCGGCAGATTTAACGACGAAAATGCCAATGTTGTCGAATTCCGAATTACGTGCGAAACAACGGAGAAAACTGGAACGAGGAGGCGCGAATAAACTCGTGAGAAAAACAAAAGAGGAAACAGGAACATTTCTGTGTACTGTATGCATACAGTAGTGCGAAACGCAGCGGTTGTATCTCGCGGAAATTCCCCGGCGAAATCTGCCGATTCGTCGTTTTTTTTTTTTCTTTTTTCCCGCGAACCCTCGGCTTGGTAGCGAAAAAACGAGCGCATAAATATCGGTCATCAGAGGCGACGAGCGACACAATCGTCAAAACTACACGCGCGGTACACGCGAGCGATTCGCGCTACGTGTCTGTCACAACTGATAGTGCATTAATATCGCTCGTCGTTCGCGCGCGCGCGTACGATTCGTGGCGGGACGATCAATCATTCGAAGATTTATTTCCGTCGTGTTGCACGTCCCTCTCTTCTCCCCCAGCCTCCTGCTACGGGTCTACGGGTTTATGCATCCGTAATTGCGGAACGATTGTCGGATCTCGGGCGCGGATGTCGATGACGATACCGCGTCGCCGTTTGCACGTGTCAAGACGGAGCTTGCCAAATTGTTACGTTTCCGCTCGCAAAATACATCGAAGAACGCCAAAGAGATACGCAAAAAAAAAAAAAAAAAAAAAAAATGAGAAGGAGAGGCGAGACGGATTGTGTGAAAAATTTTATCGAAACTTCAGCTGCGACGCGAAAATTTTGCAATTATCGACGGCCGCGCGCTGCACAGATATCAGAAATCTATTCGCGTCATACATTTCATTCGCACGTGATTTATTTACGGTGGTCGTATGTTGTTTTTTTTTTTTTTTTTTAGTTTTTTTTAGTTTTTTTTTTTTTTTTATTCACCGCGCCTGTGCGTTTAATCAATCTTTTATCGCCGGCGTCGTCGCCGTCGTCGATATTGTTGACATGTTTTATTAATCAATTCATTTCGATATATATCGCTCGGCAGACTGTTAGTTATTTCGCAATTTATTTCCGACCGCGTTAGAGCGCGCCGCAACGTTTCGCTGCATTCGTAATTGCGAAATGATTGCAAACATCGTCGGAAATAAATCCGACGCCCTTCCCGTGGGCGTTTGTGTGCATACCCTTGCGTTTCGACGCGGATCGTTACACGCGCGTCGTCGTCGTCGTCACACGCTGCACCCCCTCTTCACTCCCCGTGACAAAGTCGCGGGGTACCGCGAGGCGGTATTAACGACGTCGTACTGACGGATAAATTGCAGCGTCACGCGACACAAATTATTCATACTTCATCATTCTTTCACCCCACCTTAGCGCTTTCCTCCCAATTTCCTTTTGTTCATTTAATTTTATCATAAGCCAACAGTGCATTAACCCGGTAAGCGACGCGCCCGCCGCCGGGTGTTTAACACGACGAGGGGCGGCAAAAACCCACCGACGAAGAAAGTAAAAACACATCCGATCCTTTTTTTCCTTCGCCGAGAAGTTTTTTTCTTTTATCGCGAGGCGATGAAATAAATGCGTGTGCGAACTTCAAGCGGAATAACGTCGCTTGTGAACTTCCCGCGACGAGGAATATACGAAAGAAGAAGAGAAACGCGAGAGCTCCTCTATAATACATTTCGACACATCGTTTGTGATCAAGCGACGCGTTTAATCATCGGCCCGTTTAATCATCGGCGCGTCGTCGCGAAGTTCAATTTCGTTAATTTGCTCGCACAGCAACTTCTCCTCCCACTCCTCCGGGCTTCTGTTTCATTATCGCTACGAAATAACATTATATTGTTTTACCGTCCCGTTGCACGCACAGAACTTCGCCCGTTGCATATTCGATAATATACAAAATTTGATTACGTCGTAAATTAATCGCGTTATGGGCATAATGCACTCTATTATTTCGCATCCCGCTCCCACCCTCTTCGCCGCCACGCGTCGCGCGTAGCAGAGAAACCTTGACGTTCTCTTCTACAAGGTACAAGGCGCGGGAGTTAAACCTCGGCTTGCGTTACACGCGTCACAGTGTCACGCGACTCAAATATTTCATGCCCGCGCCCATCCTCCTCTTTCCCTCATTTATCTCTGTCTCCCTTCCGCGCTCTTTCTCACCGCCCTTCCCTCCTCCCTTCTCTCCCCGTCTGTCTCTTTTTCGCACACGGTCCCTTCGGCCCGCCTCGTTATCTTCACACTTCACTTGAATTTCTCGTATCAGGATCATCTTCGTCCTCGCGCGCGCGCGCGCGCGCTATCGCCCGGTGCACGCCATACAAAGATAACCGGGCGGCACTAAAGTTCGCCGTACCGGAAATTCTGGCGTAAGTTTCGAGCGCGTGCGCGACTCGTTTTGCTCCGTTTATCCGGGAAAGATATTTCAGCTTTTAATAACACCGGAAGTGTGTGACCCGGTCGTTGACGTATTTCGTCGCCCTGACGGATCCCCGGCCGGACTTACAGAAAACCAAATAGTTCGCAAAATGATATTATTCCGTTATGCTTAAAAAAAAACAAGTACAACGAAATATCTGTCAAAAGTTCCGCGCTGTTGAACAACGTTCAAAAAAAGATCATTTTCGACGTGTAACTATTAAGAGAGAGAGAGAGAGAAAGAGAAAGAGAGAGAAAGAAAGAAAAATTAGAGTGTCGGATTATACGAACTCCACACGCGCGAATCCCCCGCGTATTCCAGTTTACGCGCGATGTTTGCGGTGAAAAAGATAGAATGACATCGAAATAAATACGTAACGTTTCGCGCTACGTGCGCGTATATATTCGCGCGTACAAATTGCGGCGGCCTGTCGCGTTATTCGCGAGACAAAAACCATTGATCACGATGTTGTGTGTGCCACGCGGGTGTATTCTCGCGCGAATCACAATTTCACGCCACCGTCGTCGTCGTCGTCGTCGTCGTCGTCGACACGGCGAGCGCACGGTTACGTACGTAACGTGCGCGCGCGCGCGAAGGCAATATTCCGATCAAACGTTAAAATAAAAAAATAAAAAAAGCAAGGAAATTCAGAACAGTTCGGAATCGATCGGGATCCTTCTTTTTACCTCGTTCTGCATTCGTTTCTCCGCTCGCCTTGTGTCGCGCGCTGTGTCGCGATTCGCTTTCACGTTTTTCACGGCGTAGAGGACAAGGAATGTGTTTTGCTTTCCTTTTCTTTCTCTTTTTTTCTCTCACTCTCTCTTTGTCCGAGCGCATCTCGCCGACACCGGTATCCGCGTGCGAGCGGAAACTAAAGAGAAACATCGCGAAAAGAACGATGGGGAAAAGGAGAGGAATGCATAAAGGATGGGCGCACATTTTCGCGAAGAAGCATTCGCGCGGCCGCGCGTACTCTTTGGAATGCGCGCGCGCGCCCATGCAAACTTACAATTTCGCCGCTTGGATGTCGGGAATTGATGGTTTTTCAGATCTGAATCCCGAGACGCGACTCGCTCGTTTGAACGTGTTATCGGCGAAAAAATCACAAACGAGAGTTTAACAACGGGGGAGTAAATTTGTGTAATTTGCAATTTTGCGTCCGATTTTATTGTTGCTCATTTAAGACGAAGAGAATGAGATTGTTCGGATGTTTGATTGTCTCATCAAGGAAATCGAATCATTATTGATTCTATACCTGACGAGAGAAAATTTCGGAATTCGTTTTACATCTCACATCAAACGTCACGCGCCAACAAAACTCACATTCTTATTGCTCTTCCTCGGGATTTCTCGCCCCATTGCCATCCTTTACATACCCCGTGTCTCTTCTTCCCTTCTTTTTATTTGTTTCCGAAAAGCCGACTAAATCACACTCGGCCTTCTCTATCGTGGGGGGAGGAGGGGGGGGAAGAAGGAACGACCGGATTTATAGTTCACACTAGCTTTGCGACGGTCCAGAAATCGCGCACGACGTGAATAATTTCGACTGCACGTGTTTCCACATACGTGGGACGAGCGGGAGGAGAGGGCGTGTATGTATATACGTATAGAGATATATATATATATATATATATCTCCGGAGGGAGGTATACGCGATTTTTGACTCGTTCTACGCGAACTGCATGGATGTTATATGCAAACCGCGCGCGGTGTGTGATAAAAACGCGACACGAGGGCGCGGCTTTCGTTCAGCTCCCGCAATCTCACGTCGATCCGGCATGTGTGACTTTCACCGAAGTGTCTGCAATATTTATCGCGCACAACGGAGTTTTTCACAATTTTCTTGAAAAATATTTCGAAAGTCGCTGTTACCGAGATTTGCGATTTTTTTTTCTCCTTCTTTCTCTCTTTCTCTCGCGCCTGGACGATGGAAGAATTTTGTCGGTGCAAAGAAACGCGAAAGGAGATACTTCTTCTTCTCTTTGGATTATAAAATAACGAGGTATGAAATCCAGGAGATGTCCGAAATACGTGACTTCCCGGCACTATATTACACCAGAAGATTTCCAACTTCCTCTTCCTCTTTTTCTCTCTCTCTCTCTCTCTCTCTTCGAGAGCGCGAGAGTTGAGATCATAAAGTTGTCTAAATACTAGATCACATTTCTCATCGAGTTCACTAAGAGCCTTCGAGCCGCCCCTTTAATAATGTCGACGGGAGCAGAGGCTTTTGAAATTTTATCGACCTTCGGGATATACTTGGCTATAAATCACGAGGTTTTTTATTCCAGTCGGCCGACGAGGATGCCGACAACGAGGAGGACGACTTCTACGAACGGTGGAAGAACGGGGCGGGTGGGTGGGTGGGTCGATCTTCATGGGGTGGGGGTTCGAGGGAAACGAGAGAGGACGAAGATGTTCGCGCTGAAACTGCAACGACCACAGAATTCTTGCATGCGGCGAAATCAGGACTGCTGACCGAGCTTCGTAACTGAATGCATCTGCCTGTTATGCGCGCGCGCGCGTGTATATATATATATATATATATGTATATAATATATATATATATATATACACACGCGCGCACACGAAAGTGAATGCGCGCACACGCACTTGTCGTGTGTATGTACATCCGGTTGCGGAATATACGCGCGTCACACCGAACGAAATACGAGCAGACCTCATTTTCAATTTGTTTCCGTCTATTTGAAAAATGGAGAACGCAATCTCACCGCGCGGCGCGGTCCTGCTTTCCGCAGACATGCTGCGGATTTGTGTTTAAAAAAAAAAAAAAAAAGAAATCACAAAAAAATTGTATACATATGTACATATCGTCCGATGGGAAAAGTCTGCGGCTTTTTTTTTTCCTTTTTTTTTTCCCCTCCATATTCCATTTCAGATATCTCCCCGGCGAGAGAGAGGCAAAAATACGCGCGGATCTCGTTGTGGCGCTTCGCGGCACGAGAGAGTCACAATTGCATTAATTCAATTATTATCTTTCAGGCACAGACGCGATCTACGTCATCGGCTGTGTATTTTTTCTCTGATATTGAAATAAAGCTAATGTCAGCGATATTGACATTTCGAACTGTGAATATATATATACTCGCTCGTATTTAATTAATTCGTTCGGCACTGTGATTTTCCATTTCGATGTGGAAATTTCGTAATGAAATGCCAGCCATGTTGCGTTGTTATAAACGCGCGGAAATGTGTCGAAATGTGTTTGTCGTTTGATGACGCTTTCTTTCTCCCGACAATGAGATGTGTTGTGTTATTTATAAAATACATACATACGCGATATTATATACATTTTGAAGTTGTGTACTGTGTGTAACGATGCGTTCAGGGAATAGACATCGTGTCGGGGAAAAAAAAAAAAAACTTATTAACTAACCAACACAAACAAACAGGTGCGAAATCTCGGCGAGGGCGGCAACACCTGTCTGGATTCGCCCGCTCGCAAGGCCGACTTGCACAAACCGTGCGGACTGTATCCTTGCCACCGACAGGGTGGAAATCAGGTACAATACAGAGAGACCGAAGAAATTCACTGACCGCAAACGTAAACTGTCCCGCCTGAAACACCTGTCTGTGCTTTGATGTTGTGTATGCGTTTGCCTTCCGGGGGGTTGCAAAACGGAAACGCGATTTTTTTGTCCAATTTGGTACGGTGGTTTTCTCGTTTTCCGCCTCGGAGTTTCTTTATGTTCGTCGTTCCGACGTTTGGAAAATCCATTTTGGTCAACGCTGTTTCTCGTCGCGATGTTTGTCGCGGAACGCGCGCATTCTCGATTGCAAAATTTTGATTCTTATTTTTGCCCGCAACACGCCGAACCGAGGCAGTTCCCACAAAAACGTTCTTGGGAACAACGTGCTTGTGTATCGCGGTAATCAAATCTTAATGATTTTCATTCATCAGCGATGGCTTCCGAAACGCTCAGCGGTAAATGATAATCGATATTGCTGTGATAATCAATTCCGCCGTTAAATATATGATCGTTCTCCAATTTCCACGTCGCGGCGCGGCGACACCCGAACACGGGAACGTGTAATAACCCGGCAGTATTTAGCCTAATTATTATCGTATAATCCGGTGCGAGTAAACAATGTGCGGATCGCGAGCGTTCCAAAACGCGCGCGCCCGAGTCCCCATAATTCCGCCGCGCGAGAGAGAGAGAGAGAGAGAGAGCTAATCGCACAGCGCTACATACCAAATTACTAGAAAATCGAGTTTCCGTTTCATCGACGATATCGATCCGTTATCGTTTCCCCAATGACAGGCCCGAGTGGTCTGTGTAACTCGCGCACGCACACACATACACACACACACACATACACAAATGCGCGCGCGCGTCCGTTCCGCATGCCACATGTGTGCTCGCGTTTCCAGCTGCTTGGATTCTCGAATTGGATGGATAGATAAAACCACGGCGCGCACGAAACGCGCAGGAATGAGCGATTTGTGATGAAATTTCCTTTCCGTTTCTAAAGTAATCGTGTGAATTTCTCTTGAATTGCAACGCAGATAAGGCAAATCGTCAGCGGGATGTGTATAGATTCGGCAGGAAAATCCGAGGACCTGCATCAGCCGGTGGGATTGTATCCGTGTCACCGTCAAGGCGGCAATCAGGTATCAAAGAGGAATGTTAAGTCGCGCGACGCAGTAAATATGACGCGGTTTTGGATTAAAACCGAGGAAGGAACGCTACAATCTCTCGTTTGAGGCTTTTTCTAATCGGGTTGGGCGTATCTTTTTTTTCTCATCACAATACACGGATTTCCGAGGTCGGGAGTCAATGAAAGCGGCTTATTAATAAATAAATAAATAAACCAGTAGAGATCTTGTGTGGGAAAGCGTTTGCGGTTTGCTCGCGTGCACGTTGCGTTTCACGACGCGATTAATAGCGTCGCTAATCTGGTGCGGGTGCTCATCAATCCACGTCTCTTGCTATTCCCCGGTGCGATGACCTCGGTCGTGCTGTCTTTTGCCGTGTAGCTACCTATGGGTTTATCATAGTTTCTTACGCTGATAAGTGGTAGAATTGATTTGAATCGTCCCGCAAATGAGCGAAGACGTCCCAGTGTAAATACCTCGCATGCAGTAGATGTACATTTGTTTGTTTTCTCTTCCCTTCTCTCTTATGATTTTTTTCATACTTTACATCTCAATTTCTGTTTGTATTTTGTGTGCTCTGTCAATCGTACAATTTTCTTTTTACAAACGAAGACGTCGAATAAGTCACATATTCGAGGCAAATGTCCCAATGACCAATCATTTGTTTAAAGAAATGATTAGATTAGACAAAGAAATGATTAGATTAGATAAAATTTATTGGCTCCCCTTGAGGATTTTAAAAACGGAATAACGATTAGATGTGTGAATTATTTAATCGCATCCTCTCAATGTTTCTCAAATGTTTTTCTTAAAATATAGTTTTTCAAATGTTAAGTTCTCTGATTTCACGCACGTAAGTACTTCGTTACAAAATTAGTGCTTTTTTAATAAAGAAATGTCCAAGTGGGGTGCTTGACAACCCCGGTCATTGAGACGTTTACCTTGCGCGAGCGAGAGAAAAAAAATAAAAATTGCCTTAATAGATGTGTACAAAGAGTTTTTCTCTTATGTACACATAAGCAACAATTTCATTAGTGGCGCGCGGAGCCACTCAACGAAATCGAGCACGATCCGCGCAAATCCGCGCTTTATCGTGTTTCTTGTGCTCATTCGGTCGACGTGCGGTCTGTTATTAAAACCCAACCTTACGGAATGGAGCGCGTATATACGCGCGCGCGCGCGCGCGGAACGTTTTCTGTCGTTTATTCACAAACGCACACGTAAACGGCACACGCGAGCGTTTAACAACCGTGGCAACCGGTTACAACCAAAAACACAATCAGTCGGTGCTTGCTTAGCCGCCCCTCCCTTCTACTCTCGGTAAAGCGCTGCTTTAATTTAGCTGTTTGCCCACGCAATTAAGCCTCGGTTTCACGGCAATTACGCGCTCGCGGTCGTCGCTCGCGTGACACTGATAAAGTCGCGAATTCTCCGCCCCGTTGTTATACGCGATATTACGCAACGAGGAGGGGGGCAAGGGAGAAGATACGCGCCGGTGATCCGAGATCGGAGTCGCGCGCGGATGACGGAAGATGAATAACCGTATCATCGGATGGGAAGGCGAGTGCGTCGCGCGAGATAGCCCAAAGCCGCGATCCGTTTATGGCGGCGGACACAATGCGTATATGTTCCCCCTTTCCCCGATGCGGCGTGCGTACGAAATTATCATCAGCATATTACGCGCTCGCGGGAATCAGCGGGATGCGTAAGCATCGCGGTCGCGTGTATACCTCACATCGGAAAGCGCATTCACGCTCACGTGACGTGCACACATCGTGACCGACACGTGCGCGCGCGCGTGTATTTTTTTTGTTTTCTCCAACACCCCATTCCTCACGGTTGAATTGCCACACACGATGCTTGTTCCGGCAACGTCTGTGTGTGTTTCACAAATATACAAAAGTGTGTGTGTAATTGTGTGCAGACCGAAGCGAAGCGCAACCAATGCGCGATACGCGCTACGTGTGTTTCATGTAATATAGTTGTATAATATACTTCAGACATCGCTGGCACAACACGTTCCGATTTGAGAGTTTCAGGCAGAATGGAACGCGCGAGGGAACGGGATCGCCGCGCATGGCTAACGATGCTTGATGATGCATGTGTGTAGCGAATGCTTGCTTCTCGTTATCTCCGTTGCCCGCGCTATTCCCTAATTATACTTGTAAAGCACTTGAAAACACTATATTGTCGACCCGACGATTCTGACAGCGCCCGCCCGTCCCAATTCATAGTTTCCTCCCCTGGTGTCCGCTTGTCGTATTAAATTAGTGATAATTACGAGGGGAATATACATGCGGCTCTCCGAAACCAGTTCTCTTTATCTCTCACTCTTTCTTTTTCTCTCTCTCTCTCTCTCTTTCTCTCTCTCTCTCTCTCTCTCCCTCTCTCTCTCTCTCTTTCTTTCTCTCTCTCTCTCTTTCTCTCTTCTGCTTTAAATTCTCTCATGTATTAATCTCTCTGTGTATCTTCTTTAAAAATTGCTTTAAAAATTATAGATTTAGCGGCGTATCAACCCCGTTATACAAATTCGCGCGCTCTTGAATTCCCCGTTTGATCGATCGCTCGATCGATCCATCGCGTAAACAAAATTTCAAGAGCCACGAGAGAGATTACCAATTGCTTTTATGGACGACACGCGCGACCGCCGTCGACGCGTCGCTGTCAGTTCCAGTCGACTGGAATTGCGCAACCTTCCCCCCCCCGTCGGATGAGCGCGATTTCGGGAAACCGCGGAACGCGATTATCGTCGGCGCGCTCATTTATAGAACGCCGGAGTCTCGCGCTTTGACGCGCTCGCTCGCGCGCTCGATTCGACTCGGCGCGCCCGCTCGGAGCGATATGTAACCGTTAGTCTCTCGTTCCGAGTTTGTACAAAACGGCCGTTCGACAAGTTATTTTACAAGCGGCGTGTGTAATCGATCGCCGGCCCTTTTTCCCTCTCTTCCCCCTCGTCCGGTCCAACACCGCGGGAAAATCCGCTCTCGTTTCACGCGCGACAATACTCTCGCGGGGACGTCGCGCTTATTTTCACGTCCCGTGTAACGCACAATATACGAACAGATTAAACGCGGATCGAACGACTTTGCATTTTTGCATGTCTGCGGTTTGTCGCATAGCTCGCGCAAATATTTCCCCGATCGCGGATATATACCGTTTCGTTTTCCAGGAATAAATAAATATTGGACGCGAGAACGCGCGCGCTTTGTAAAACACATACATAGTGGAAGGGGGGAGAGAAATTTGTACACATATTTAATATTCTGCCGGTATATATATATATACGTATTCTGTTTACATGTAATCGATCCGTCGCGTAATAGCGAAACAAACGACTCTTGTCATAATGAAATACAGTCGCATATACAGGGTGTCCCAGAATTGCCGTACAATCTCTCGTAGGCAGGTAGAAGGAGTAAAGCTGAGTCGAAAAGTCCTGAACCATTTTTTTCTATTATTTATAATAAAGAAGTAATTATTGAGTAAATCAGGCCAATCAGCGCAGACCTTTAGCCAGGCGCACGTCAGTGAGCCGCACGCTTGGTGTGTGTGAGCTTTTTTTCTTTATTATAAATAATAGAAAAAAATGGTTCAGAACTTTTCGACTCAGTTTTACTCCTTCTATCTGCCTACGAGAGATTGTACGGCAATTCTGGGACATCCTGTATATATCATACATGTATACGTGTTTCGGGAAAGCCTGTAATAATTTTTCGGACCCTTTTCTCTTCGCCCTTCGGTTATGTGTGCGCAAAAAAATGTTTCTCCCGGATTAGCGTCTGTCAGAGTCTCGAGCGGTCGCGTAGGCAAGTCTGTGTTTGTGTAGATTCTTTGAAGCATTAATCGAGATCGTTTGTGTCGCTAGTACTGGATGCTCAGCAAGACGGGTGAAATCCGTCGGGACGAGTCGTGTCTGGACTACAGCGGCAGCGATGTCATCCTCTATCCTTGCCACGGCAGTAAAGGGAATCAACAATGGATCTACAATTCTCAGGTAAACGAAGCTACCTCTTCAACCTGGTTTTGTTTCCTAATTGTCCGATTACAAACGCGATGCTTAAACAAATAGAGAGGGAAATATATTTATTTTTTTGTTAACTTTGTTACATTTATTTTGTTTCTTTAATATTAAAAAATTACACAGAAACACCTGCAATCAACGTGAAATATTTTTATAAGATATCTATTAATTCTGAAATGTTTTTTATCGTTGATTGAAGCAAAGGTAATTGCAATAATAATCGAATACTCGATACGTGCCGGAGGATTCGTAATTTTATGCACAAAAATCGTTTCGATAGTCTTTTATATGTATTTTGTTTCTCGCTTTTTTCAGACTAATCACATCAGGCACGGCAGCAGCGACAAGTGTCTCGCGATCACGGAAAACAAGCAGCAACTGGTGATGGAGGAGTGTTCGCCGAACGCGCCGCGTCAGAGATGGTCCTTCGAGAATTACGATCCGTCGAAGCTGTGATACCGCGCTCATCATCATTCACCGCGTCGTCATCGTCCGCACAATCTCGAGCGCGCCGGATTCTGGCTGTCCGGGAAACGCTATTCGATCGCCAAGACCCGTTTCGGCAGATAAATTCGGGAATCGGCACCGAGAACAATTTTCTGCGGAAAACACCCGCTCGAACGATCGGGGGTGCGAAATCTTCGATTGTTGCCCGACATTCCCCGTCGCGAAGCTCGTCGAATTTTCATCGACGAAATGTGAGAAACGAATTCGCGAGGACAATATGCTTTATAGCAAGAATTTTGTACTCAAGAAATCGCATTAAATTAGAATATTTTTTTTTTGTGTTTTTTTGAACGCCACGTGACGCTCGAAACGATTAAGTCTTGAGAGAGAGAGTGTTCTGCGTGTTTTATGTTATAGTCAAATAAATGTAGTATTGAGCAAGAGAGAGAGAGAGAGAGAGAAAAAGGAAGATCACAAACAGTCTCCACATGGATACAAGATCGTGTACGAACGTGATCGTATCGACCCATCGAATAGCTCTCGATCGTCACTTTCGTTCGCTGATCGTCGGCGCTTCCAACAGAGGATCAAGGGGAAGCGAAGATGCTCGGTGCCATCGGTGCAGGAACGATGTATCGCTGTCCTTGCGAGCGAATCGTCGATTGTCCGTTTATAGAATAGCGAATCGTCTCTCTGTTATGACAAGAACAAACACGTTTAAAACGTCGTGTGTTTAACTCCCCTCACAAAAAAAGCGATAAAAATGTCTCTTAAAGAAATCAAGTGCCAAATTTAAATATTCTCTTAGTAAACAAAAAACAAATCTACTTCCATTCTAAGCTCGTTTTAAACTAGAGACGAAGTGCGACTGAAAAAAAAAAAAAAAAAGAAAAAAAAGCGAACTCTGCTGTTTAAGGAAAACTCGTAGTTGCGTGTAGCGAATGATTTAAAGGTGAGATCGTATTAGATAACGATATCCGCGCACTTGTACCAACCCTTCTGTTAAGCCCCCTTACAAACTGCCACGTACGAGTTCGGGAGAGAAAGAAACGCGAGAGGATTATTACAACCTCTCCCCTCAAACGTCAGTTGCGTCAGAATAGTCGCCGGTCAGTGCGTTGTTCTCACGCAACGACTTTCGCAAAATAGCATGTATTTCGTAATCGTTTGGGAGATGGTTCGTGTCCTGAAATTGTCTCGGATCACGTTTTTTTTTTTTCTAAGGAGTTTTTTGAAAGTGTAGCAATTTTAATGTCAAGTAAAGAGACGTGTCCGTTTTTTCTTAGCGTCGATTTCTCTCTAAAATAAAAAAAAAAAAAAACTGTATACGACAATTCTCATTAATCACGAGGAGTCATTGTCGCGTGTATTGCCAGTCGACGATTCGCGATGGCACTCTTTGATCGTCTAACAGTCTCTTTCTTGTCACTTCTTTTCGAGAGGTCAAATTGTCTTGCATTCCACATCTCGCGCGTCGCGCAATTGCGAAACCGAAACGTTTCAGATAAGAAAAAGTATTTTTTTTTTTTTTTTTAGTTCGTTTAGTATATATATACTATTATAATTTAAGTATATTTATAGGTAATTAAAGACGACGCGCGGCAAAAGAGAGTTGCGTGGTGTGAAACATTCCGAAGGCGCAGGCGAATTGTTTGCGATTCTCTGCTGTTTGTACATTCGTGTAAGATATAACAACGTCTTGATGCCAGTTCAGGATATAAGTACCGCCTAAGAGAGAAAGAGAGAGAGAGAGAGAGTAGATTTAAGAGTGTGGCTAGAGAGTGTGCGAACGTGTGCGTGAGTTACCCTCTTACAGAGATTGTCTTCGCTTTTGACACAGTGCGCGTGCAAACACAAAAACTCGACCGTCGATCGTCGAACCGGTGATTGAATCGGACGCGGAAATCCGAAATGTCACACGAAACGAGTAACCTTGTAAGAGAGCAGTAGACTTTTGTAGGGGACGGGAATCCGATTTGCTCCGATTTTCAACGACATATCACTGTACGAAATGCGATGATTGTCAGTCGTGCGCGCGCGACGCAAAGGAGTGTAATATAAGTCTTCACGTGTAAAAACAAAAACCAAAAAAAAAAAATATATAAATTTAAAAAAATCCGAAGTCATTAACGAGTCTTCGTCTGTTAGTTACATGTTTAAAAATTTACAACATGTTTTCCTGAAGAAAGTCTAATTTGAAAATTACGAGCGCGTGGTTTTAACGCCGTTTTAACATATTCGCGCAACCTTTCGGCAACCGTGTTTGAATTGTTCGAGGTGCGATCCGTGAAAAAAAAAAAAAAAAAAGAATTTTTGCGTGCCAACGAAAGATCGTTAAACAGAGCTGCGCATGGAACGGAAAGAACATTGTCGACTATTGTTACTTTTCTATAAAAAAAAAAAACAAAAACAAATTGTCTATATTATAGTTGATTCTTGTGCGAATCGTGTCGTATGTAAATGCTAAAACAAATTTTATACACATCTTTCTATACATATCTTTCTCTCTTCTCCGTCAACTTTTCCTAAGAAATCTTTAATATTTCTCTCGAACAAAAAACGTTACATAGCGAACATTCGAACTATTACGTGCGTATCTTTTTCTTGCTCTGAAAAGCTACAAAAATACGTATATGTCGAAACGCGCATATCCTGTCTTGTTGGAAAAGAATCGAATGTACAAGGTGTTTGAAGAAGACACGTAATGTGAAGACTTGAGGAATTGCAATTTTTACGGACGGAACAAACCACGCGTCGGATTTTTGCGAATTTTCGCGTGTGAGATTTCATCGCGAATGTGTGTATGTGCATGTGTGTGCGTATGTGTGTATGTGTAAAATGAGTTTAACGTATGAGTACGTTTAATCGCGTAAAGAGATTTTTCGCAGAGAAAACGAAAGAGAGAGAGAGAGAGAGAGAGAAATAGAAAGAAGCGGCAAGTTAAATCGCCAGCTACGTGTACGAATGTGTGTGCTTAATTAGATACGACGAATTAGCAGTTCCCCTCGTTTTAGAAATTAATCGAGTTTCTCGAAGCTCGCAATTTTGCCAATGCGAGACACACGAGACACGTTTGAACAGATTGCGTGAGGAGATGAAATGTGATTGCCAGACGCAGATTGATCTCGCGCGAGAGAATCCGCTTCGCAATTTCGGTCGACGAGAGTGTGCAGAACGATGAATTGTTTATACAGATTATATTATACATTTTTTCTACATATGTGGTAACGACGTTGCGTATCGTACGGGAGAGAAAGAAAGAGAGAGAGAGAGAGAGAGAGAGAGAGAGAGAGAGAGAGCGAGAGAGAAAGACGATAGTAAATAATAAACGTAAATAACGCGAGAGAGCGTTATAAAAATAATGCGAGTATCTTGCGCACGCACGGCGCTCGTCGCGCGTTTTAATTAATATCGAACGTGCCTTATTTCGTGTATATATATACATATATATATATGAATATGATTATCATTATTATCATTACTACGAACCTCTATCATAACGTGCAAGTATTTGTGTTGAATAAAAAATCGATGTTGTTTTATGTTACTAATTGTTTTTCAAACACAATCGTGCACTCCAATCCCTGTGGATTCGTATATATATTTTATACATTCCAATTTTTTAATCTTAAATCAAAATAAAACCATATTAAAATCTAAATTTTGAAATTTACTATGCAATCTGCTGCGATATCTTTTGCACAATATTATCTGATGTACTTCATAAACCTGAATACTGTGAATAAAACGATATATTTCAGAGGAAGAGAGGAGAGAGAGAGAGAGAGACAGAGTATAAATAGTACTCCGTGATTATAGGACATTGCGTGAAAATGGAACACGGCACACTTTCGTTTAGCCCTGACCTTATTCCAGCCACCCACCAATCGCGCGTGATGGAGGAGCAAGGTGAACGGCGGCGGTGCTCGAAAGGATCAATAACGACGTAGGAAAAATCTCACGACAGACTCGCAGGATTATAGAGCACTGTCGTTTCGATTTTTCCGAGCGAAAAACGAAGGACGACGCGACGATTCCAATCTTCACGTTTCCGAATCTCTCCACACGAGAAATTCTTCCATCCGCTAACAAAGCTCACGCTTAGCGTGAAATCAATCGTTTCTCTCTTCCATCTATCGAATTGCTTATCTTTTATCCGGGTGCTGTTACGCAAACAAGAATGAAATCGCTCGTTATTCTTGCGCACGCGTTCTCGGGCATCAGCGGGAGGCGCATGTCCTAGCGCCTCCGTAAGGACAAAAGGCAAATTCCTGCGAATATCCTGAGAGACGCAATTCAAAGCTGAAATGTTTTGTTTTTGTTTGGTTTTTGATCCGCATGTTTTAGAAATTTACTTAATTTTTATCTGCAAAAATGTTGAAGTTTAAATTCGTAAATGTACATATTATGTGACTGAAATTACATTAAGATATTTATTTTAATAATTATATATAATTACAAATTTTAGTTATTTTCACATTACAATTTTTAGTTATTTTTTAAATATTTCCGGAATCAAGATATTTCATAAATGTAGTTGCACACGCAAACAATTGCAGTTGAATTCAACATGTTTTCTCCGTGTCTCTTGCAGCTATGCAACTTGTTGCGACGATATTGATTAGAAGAAGAAGACAACGTAGTCCCGAAGAGAGATAGAAGTTTTTTCTCCAACATGAATGACTTCAACTTTACAGTGTTAGGTTTTGAGCTTGACCCGAATTCTCGTTACATGTGCGGTAGTATTCGCGTTCTATTTTTAATTTTGCGTTGCAAATAGTTTAATCAAAGTTAATTTTAATATCTTCACATTTGAAAAGATATCGAAAACTTTTTGACGTAATATATTGTTTAGAGATTTCTTATAAACAAGAAGAATTGTATTCTTCTCGCACGTTTGAACAAGAGTTCGGGCGCTTCCTGTGACGTTACAATGATCTCGCGGTCGCAACTGTTTTGTATCTAATCAAAAAAAGGTTTGCTTCGTTGTATCATCTGCTCGTTGTTCAAACGTAATAAAATTGAAGACCTCATGACAAGACCTCGCCTCGTTCTGATGTTATAAATCGCAAAAGAAGCGCATCCATTTTTTGTCTAAAATAATCCTGTTTTCCCGGTAGGGGAAGCACTCCGGGTCGTGCCGACGACGCGCGGAGGGTGGTTTCGTATGACGCAGGCGCCGCGACGCCTTGTGTCCGACGCCTCTCATCGACAGGGAGTTTAGTTCTGTATCTGTTCTCTGCTCTCTTCGCTCGCGTGTTCACAGAGAGAGAGACGTCACCCTCTGTAACTCTCTTTCCGGTCACACACGTCCATTCACGAATTCGACCTTCGTCGTACACAGAACCACCGAGTGCTTCGTTGAGGCAGGAAGGCTGGTTCGTCGTCCTCCGTCGCGGAGAAGAGCCGTTCCTCGTTCCCATCATCTCTCGCGAGAAAAGGGGCGGCGGTTTACGGGCGAAGTTCATTCTGCGCGCTGGAAACTCGCACGATCAATCGTGCGACGTCAATTGCATCCCGAGCTCGATAAAGAGGTACTCTCTTTCTCTCTCTCGCATCACGAAACGTCGACGTACATTCGACGAATTCGCAATAAAGTCAACATTTTATCGTGATAACGTAACGTTGGTGTTTTGTCGAGCGATTTATTTGTGTTTTCTTTTTTTAAATTCGCTTTTTAAGTTTCTGAAAACATCGTGTTGTTTACAATAGTATTTTCCTTGGCTCTCGCGGAAAAACAATTGCAATTCGCGAATAATGTAAATACACATTGCCGAACAAAGGATATGACATCGAATTTGTGGAAACAATTTGATTCGAGGACCAAACAGTTGCGCGAATTGTTTGGTTCCTGTGTTGTGTAGATTCTCACAACTCTCGTCTCGGTAATTAAGTTTTTTTAATTCTGATCTCGCATATTTTTTTATACAGCTGATCGATTGATTCCTCTGACGATATTCGAGAAGTAAGTCAAAACTGTTTTTTCGGGGGAAAAGCAGCCCGGCAAGCGAAGAGGCTCCGGGACCAAAGCAACAGGTAACACTTCACTTCGTGTCATTTTTTTTTTTTTTTTTTCTACTTCTTTGAAACACTTACGGCTATTCTGTCTTCAAGACGTTCTTGCGAACAAAGTGTTTGAACAAAGAAATATTAGAGAAATGAGCACGCGGATATAAGCCAGTGGCAGTTCAAACGCAAAAACGGTGTTGAAAAAAATATTAGCTTCTGACAAGCTCAGCTCCGTCTGAAAATAGCAACAGAAGAGAAATGTCACATTTTCGCGAGATCTTATGAGAATTATTTATCAGTGCGAAAGCGTTTTTTTTTTTTTTCTATGCAATCCCCTCATATACACACGGTGTGTTAAAAGGGCGCGATATTTTTATCGACACTGCACGCGTAGATAATAATAATTGAATAAAATCTTTAATCTCATAGACGTTGTTGTTTTGTACGAACAAGTGTAAATACCACCGCGCTACAGCCGTGTTTCAAATATCGCTGCCGCTGCGTTACTGAAAGTCTATAGTTCGCGTGACGCAAATTGTAGATCCTCAGCATCGGCGGCGAGTTTTGAAGCACAGAGTATCGCGTTAAAAATAGCCTCTACACGCACTAATTGCTCGAAGAGAAATGTCGTTCTCTTATCAAATTAAATAATTATAAGTAACAATTGAATAAAAATAGAAGCGACTCTTAACGTTTTGACGATTACGTTGACTGAGCAACGACGCGAATTAAACTGCAGGAAGACATGTGTCCGATGCCGGATTCGGGATCGAAAATGGCTGAGGAGCCGGATTACTCGATATTCGAGAATAAAACCGGCCTGGCCGAGGACATGAAGTTTCTGGCAAGTATGCCGGAACTTTGTGACGTGACATTCCTCGTCGGCGCCACCAGAGAGCCCGTTTGCGCCGTAAAAGCTGTACTCGCGGCCAGAAGCAGGTCTGTAAACGGATGGATTTATTTCATTGACTTTACAGATTCAGGAAATGTGTGACGATAATTTTGTCGTTTTGCAGAAAGTTTCACAGAATGCTTTATCAAACCGAAGAGAGTCCGCAGCGCAAGAAAGATCCGCCGACGCGAGAAAACAAAATTCGACTGTTTCTCAAGCGCAGTTCCGAGCCGCTGTTGAATCTGCAGAACACGGCACACCAGGTATTTGTAGTTTCGTAAATTAATTCACGAATTCATCGTTTTATTTTTGATCGATCGTCGATACTGATTGACGAAAATACATTTGGTGCGTAAAAGTACGACGCGTGGGTGTGACGCGATATTTTTTTGATAAAATGAATTAACAAGAGAAAATAGCAGATTCCTTTAACCGTGATATAATTGAAAATATCGTTTGTGTATTTTTATCAGAGAATTCAAATGATTTTATTTTATTTCATCAGAGAATTAAAATTCTATATTTTCGTGCGTGTTATATTTAAGTTTACTGCAATATTAAACTACTGTATATTAAGTTCACTGTAATATCAAAAGACGTGATATGTTATAAATAACACGTAGAACAAATATGAACAATTTCTTTAAAATGTAAAATAACACGTTTAATATACAAAGCGTCTTCTTTGTGATTATTCGTGCAAGTTTTATTTTTCTTTTTTTTTTTTTTTAAACGATTGTAACACTAAAACAGTTATAAAACTCATCAATATGCAAGTCAATTACTTCGCGAGAGTTTGTGTTTCAAAACAATTTCTTCACAATTATTGAGACGCTTTGCATATTTATCGTGGTCATCTTTGAAATATCGTATTTCCCGCTTTTATTCAGGATAGAAATAAGTAAGTGTACAATTTGTATGTGTCATGTGTAGCGGTCAGGGTTCACGCAGCAACTGGCACCCATCCAAGAGGTACTTTGAAACATAAATCACTTTTATGTAAAATTTTTTACATACAAATATCAAAATTATGTTTGTATATTTCCCGTTTTCCTTTTGTAATAACTCCATCCCGTGCGGTTTCTGATCCACGATATTGATTTCTCTTCTCTTCTTCTCTCTTTTCACTGCGGCTCACTCAAATGCTCACTGCATTTTAATCACGACTCCACTTCTGCAAACGCTCCTTGTATATCCTCGTTGGATCTCTTTAGAAACTATTTAGAGAAGTTGTTTTAATTTTTAGGTAGTTTTCATGTTTGATAAATTAATGTAATCCGACTTAATGAACGATCTTATATCTTGTAATTTGTGACTAATCAAGATTTGGATACACCTCATAGAACTTCTACGATTACGATTAAATTTGGCAAAAAATGCATGTTCGATTATAGGTTTCGCTCTCGTAGTTATCAGATCCACTGTAGCAGTAGATTGGCATTTTATTGCATCAACCGAGCGAACGAAATTTATAGAAGTATCATTGAACTTTCGATATATCATTTTGCGTATATACAAAATTAATTGCATAAAATTTTTTTCAGTTCGTAGCGCTGCGTCGAGAAATTAAGAAATTTATTTGAACGATATTGACAAACATCTAGCAATTGACTATATATGTTCGCTGGGTTATCAGTTAGAAGAGAAATATTTTTATTTATCTTTCTAACGATGTTAAATGCTCAATATAGCTTCATGCTAAAAACTCTGCATTTTTAATTGAAGTAACATCATAACTGCGACACACATTTTATCTACCATCATCATCACTTTCCTATGTATACAACATACATATATCTCACGCCCTAATTAATTTTGGACCAACCCTTACAGACTTCCACGCAAGTCGCTTTAGCACGGGTCGATTTTTTAAGCTTCACCCTTTCGACGTTCTTCTTTTCGATTTCTTCTTTTTCAATATTTACGCATCTCACTTATCGCAGCCGCAAACGAACGAGCACCACACGCTGATCATCGAGGAATTCGAGCCCGACGTCTTCCGCCAGTTGATCGAGTACATTCACACTGGATGTGTGACACTGCAGCCTAGGACTTTGCTTGGTAATGAATTCATTATACATTGTGCGTATCTACAATACAAATCAGCCTGGTTTTTTTTTTTTTTTTTTTTT